CTCAATCCCAAGCCTATAAACTAGATGTTGCTGGGGCTGTTAACTCATCATCAGGATATTACGGTACGATCATGACTGGTGCTCAATCAAATATCACATCCGTTGGTATACTATCAAATCTGTGTCTACTGTAGTACCGCTCACCCCTGTTTGATCAACTCCTGAATAGTGTTAATAAAGGACTCAATTTTTGTATCGACTGCGTATAACCAAAGCGCCGTCGTCGCTATCACGATAAATCGATAACAACTCCTTGTTCGCTGTTCCTTCGTAGAATCGAATGCAGTTTGAGCTGACTTACCCTAAAGGCATAATCCCCATTCCATTAGCGTCTAGTGTCATGTATCTAGAACCTTGAAACGTACCTAAGGTTATGACTTGGTTGTAATTTAATTGCGCCGCAGAAACACTGACCGTAGTGCCGCGTAGTTGAAGAGTTGTTGGGTTGATATTGAGCGTGGTTGCATTCATTTCTTGATTTCCGGATTTAGAAATCGTATCGCACGTCAGTGACGCTGTCACCAATCCGGTTATTCCAGTAATAGTACCAGTGCATGTGAGATTACGATTTCCATTGAAATCTTTAGTCGGGTTAAGCACCACAGCTTGAGAGGCACCAGCTGCCCCTTCAGTGATGTTAATGTAATAATCTTGACTAAAGTAGTGCCATTTAATTTTCAAGCTTGGAATATTTAATCCTGCTCCGCCCATGTCTCTGTAGTTCAGCCGAGTACAAAGAAATTATTCGAGCTAATAATAAATTGGTTGGTTTCACAACGAATTATCAATCTGGGTGGTTTAACGGATACCTTCTAGAAACACAGGCCTGGGGTGGGAGTGAAGGAACTCAATTCCATACTACTGTAGTACTAATACGCTAAATTTGGTTGCCAATAGCAATTCTACTGGATCATTTACATATGGATGTAACCTATTGCTAACAGCTGTGAATTCTCAGAATCGACTAATTTTTAACTCAACGACGCCTTATACTAATGGAACGTATGGATCTGCTTCAGTAACATTGAAAAGTGGGAATATGTATATTAACACCTTGCTTACGAACGTCGTATAAGACGACATATTATTTTTGTTACGTCGTATATTACGACATTGCACGAAGGTCATTAGCAAATGGCTCGGAAAAGTTTTTTCAATACTTTAATCAAGTTACCACAAAAATATAATCTGCGAGAGGTCATTTTGCTACAAGTCAAAACCAGGCCAGGGGAAGGGGATCAGCCACGTCGTGAACAGCCACTCATTCGACATTTTGCTGGATGGTGCGCATACGGAATAGTCGACGCGAGAAGCCCGCCGCGCCGGCTGCCGCTACACACGATATTGACTTTGGCCACTTATGGCGGCAGCTTCGGGCGGCGGGGTGGAAGTCCAAGCGTCCGAGTGGCCTCCAGACTGAGTGGAGCTACTCGAGTCCTGACAACACGCACGTCTTCGTGGGGGAGAAATCAGTCGTGGACTACGCGTTCGACAGTGGCTTGGTGGAAGAGGCGGATGCTGATGCTCAAGTCCGAGATGAAGAAGGTGGGGAACTAGACCAAGCAGGAGCTGGTAGTAGTGGTGAAGAGCAACAACACGAGGGGGAAGACGTCGTTCGGCCTTCCCAGATCGACACGAGTGTCCTTCTTTCGCAGCATACCATTGATCGAATGTTCGGCACCCCAAGTGATGATGACATCGAGCTGTCGCAGACTGCAGTGAGCAGAGCATTCAATCTATCCTCAGGAGATCTACAAGACGGCGGTGCCCGCGAGGCCGCTGCTGGACTGCATTTACTTTCGGAGGCTTCTGGATTAGAGAGCGAGGGTGATGTAGACGAAGAAGAAGCCGCTGCGTCTCAACCTCGACGACGGACACTTACGCCGTTATCAGGCAAAGAGGACGTGAATGTTTTGCTGGATGGGGAGAAGCCGAGTGACTACGAGAACTACAGCTCGGGTGATAGCGACGACGACGGCATGAGTGATATTAACAGCGATTCCGGAGCCGGGATGTCCGAGGAAGATGACGACGTCCTGTCCGACAGTGACGCAGTTGAAATGGACAAGGCTTTCATTGCGGCACTACAGGTGGGCAATAACGCACTTAGCAGAACCGCTGCAACGGAGAGAGAGCAGACACTACGAGGAATGCAGTGGACGCCAGTGTCTTCGGAGTACGAGACAGATGCTGCTGCGTACCCTGGACTGGGCACCGAAGAAGCAAGGCCTGTGCCCAACCTGCTGCAATTATGGAGATCGCCAATCCTCAACTTCTTTTATTTCATGCCGAAGTCTCTGTGGGTTTCTATCGCGGCTGAAACGAACCGATATGGTCTACAGCAAGCTGGCAAGCGCGCCCGTAGCATTCAGGCACGGCAGACTGACCTTCGGCGTGAAGCTATCAAGCAGATTACACGTCGTGTGAAGGCTAAGGCAGCATACTCTACACACGAGATTCTTCACGTTGTTGGACTCCTCGTTGCACGGATGCTCTGCCCTCAAAAGAAACGATTTGGTGCGCACTGGAGTATGGTGGAAGACGGTGCTGTTCCCGCCGGTCTTTTCGGGCGGTTCATGACGCGTGACCGGTGCCAGAGTATCATGCGAGACTTGCACTTCGTAGACAACACGATTGACCACGGTAACGATAAACTCTGGAAACTTCGCCCCGTTGTTGACAAGGTCCAAGAGCGCTTTTTGCTGGGGTGGTCTCTTTCTGCTATTTTTTCGTTTGATGAGGGTATACTACCGTCCACGTCGAAGCGGAACACGACCCGGATGTTCATGGCCGACAAGCCTCACCGCTACGGGTCCAAACTATTTATGGTCTGTGACGCGCAGACGGCATACTGCCACAGGTACGTTTAAAATTTGTATGTCGTAACTATCTACTTTGTGTTTGCCTGACAACAGTAAATGTCGTAACTATCTAGGTTCGAAGTTTATGTGGGTAAGCGTGCATCTGCTGGTGGACCTGACACCTCAGTTGACTTTAAGACTGGAGCTGCAGCCGTGGTACGGAATTTGAAGATTGTTCTCGCCCAGTCTCGTCACAAGTGGCATACCGTCGTGATCGATCACTACTACTCGTCCGTGCTCCTTTGCGATTGAGCTCCTGAGTATGAAAGGTGTATGAAAGGTGTATGTTATGGGCACGATCATGACTAACCGGCTTGGATTTCAACCCGAATCTCAGGGCTACGAGCAAGACACGCCCAGTGAGCATACCCCACGGTACATTCTCGTTCTCTCGCTCTATCGCATCCCGACCATGATTTCCTGTGTTTGGTGGGACCGAAGCCGTTCTATTATCTTCTTTACGGTCTCCTTAAGGGGGCGGCGTGCCAACATGTGACCCAAAAAATAAAAAAGTTTTCCTTTCCGTTGGGAAGGGCCGTCCCCCTTTGGGTTTTATGGGGACCCCCCAAAATGGGGGTGAGCGGGAGTGGTTTTCCCCAGATTAAATCTCTCTCTCACATTTTTTTTTCACCGCAAAATTTTGCGGCGAGTTTC